CGACCTAGTGACAGATCGAAGGCAACGCCACAGGGTGGGGTGGTGACGCCGCGGCCATTAAGCGCCTCGAAAACACTGGTACCGCGTAGGTGAATGCTGAGGTAATAAAGAAGTATCAGATACCTCATCGAAGACGATTGAGAGCTCCCATTTGCCCAATCCTTCGGAGATAGAATGACACCTTCCTCTCCTTTGATGTACTCAACTGGACACGATCAGAGCAATTCAGTTGGTGGTTAGGGTGTGTTCTCAGCTGAGACACAAGCGCTGTTCCATGGGACTCATTAGAGTACTTGGGAAGGATGAAACACAAGTAATCCGGCCCAGGTATTAACTCACGATACTCCGACCACGAGTCCGACGTGTTCTACCAATTCCTGTCTGTCAGTCTTACTTTATGTATACTCTTACTTTCTCTTCTCTCAGGCCATCGAACAGGCTTGAGCGAACACGGTCTGTTTTAATGGTCACTTTTGGTTCTCTGGATTATGCTACGTATGATTCTTTCCATCGAGTACCCATTTCTGCATAAATCGAGTTAACTAGGTGATTTTGGATGGTCAAAACGAAACCGCTGCAGTCTTGCACAAACTGCTTTCTTTAAACCCTCGGCGAGAAAAGTTAGGTTGGGATAAACATTCGAAAGCAGGCGTGATTCACGACTAGTTTTTGCTAGAAGGGAAAAACATGAACATCGGTTGGCGGTGACACTCTCTGCGAACAAGTGGTCCAACTTGGGACAACGTAGTTCATGATTGGCGCGACGACGTTCTTTTTTGATGGCAGTGGCCACCGCAATGACTTCACCGATCGAGTCACCAGTTGCCAGAGTCGGAGAAGCGGAGAAGCAGCGGATGACTGTCTACGGATCAGGGGCAGCTGAATCAACAGATCGGATCGCACTCTGACACTGGTTCCTTTGGAAATCACTTTCTATTTCCATGACGACTCGGAATTCAGCGCCTCATCTGACTTGCAGAGAGGAGCGCATTCGCCGTTTCGCCAAAAGCAAGTCCTTAACCTCGGTTCTTGAGCCTCATGTTTGAAACCAAGCATTTAATAACATTACCTTGCAATATCGACTCCAACACGTGTGAAAATGCAAATTTGGACTG